AGTAGGAATGATGAAGACGAAATAAATGTGTTTTCGATTAGGCGGGACCCACGAGATGAAACAGGGCAATGTTAATTTGTGCGAGGATATTCGAATGTCCAGGTGATGAATGAGCAAATATGACCGGCATTGTTAGTCCCACGTCTACACATCATAGGGTGAGATTCAATTACCCATTGTTTCTCCAGCGAGCAGATTGGGCTGTGGATCTCGACCTGCTCATTCAATTCAAGGCAACAATTTACACCTTTCCTGCCCCCGAGACCTGCTTGTATGGATGTCAGGATATAATCAGTCTTAACATATCTTTGATCTTCTACCACGGTAATGAATCAATTCATTTCAAATGTTGTTGTTATGTTCCTAATCAGAAAGGTTTTCCGAGGGATGAATCCTATACGGCAAGTATTTTCACCAATAATGTGTTTGGTGCTAAGAGGCGATCTTTTCTGTGTATCATCACACGTGTAGGTGAGGTGAAATTGGTTTTAACGTCGCGTCCAAGATTATTGCACCTATATAGCGACGTGCATGTACGTGTGTGTGTTTGTGTGGCTGCTTGTACTAGTCCGGACTGATGCCGATTTATAGTGCTAGCTCACTGAGATACCATGCCGCAGTTTAACATGAATACCCCACTCGGACACAGTATACTGACTCCGAGCCGACCAGTCCTTGTTTTAGCCCCTTAATGCCGAGCGCCAGACAGGGTAACAACAAGTACCATCTTTTAACGTCTTTTGGTATGACGCGGCCGGGGATCGAACCCTGGACCTTCCGCTCTCCGGGCGGACGCTCTACCACAAGACCACGGAGGCGGTCCACACGTGTAGGGTCGATTGGACAATCTACTGCAAGTTTTATGGCACGTCGCGTGTGTGGTGTCAAAGAGACATTCTTCTGCCTGATTATTGTCGCCTACAGTCATTGTAAGGTATTGGGAATTACCTACTGAAAGTGTCTGGCGTATGAAGAGTCAAGGATACAAGTTACAAGAAGTTGTATCGCTTGTTGCATATGTAGAGTCAAGGGTAGAACCTACAAGAAGTATAGCCTGTAGCAAGTGTAAGCTCTTGAGAAACATCCTGCAATAATTATCACTCGTTGTGATGTAGGATCTTGGGCACAACATACTGAAAATATATTATCGGCTGTACCGATTGTAGGGGCCTTGCATGTTTTGGCGCATGTAGCGAGTGTAGGGTCAAGGCTAAACCTACAACAAACAGCAACGCCTATAACGAGAGTGTGGCCTAGGATCCTACCTAAAAAGCATACTAACACTTGCAGCGAATGTGTGGTATCAGATACAACCTACAAAAAGCGGTATCGTAACGAGTGTAGTATCCAAAGAACCATCTCAGTACTGTAGTATCACTGGTAGCGAGTGTGGGGTGTGCCGTCCGTCCTACTACCAGCATCGTTTGTAGCCAGTATGATGACAGTGGATACCTCCTACTCTTCCTGAAATAGCACACACAAACTGCATATGCCAAATATCGGTAGTGAAACAGAAGCCACTTACTGTCATGGCGGAAGGTGCAAACTTGATGTCAGCCATCATGTACTTAACCTGCTAATCTCGAGGTTGTATAGCCAACAGATCCTACTGTGTAGAAACCGCTCGTCTGGATCTTGTGGAAACCACCAGATCCTACTGTACAGGATACATGGGCTAAACCGCTGGTCTTGACCTCGAAGTAACCACTAGATCCTACTGTGTTGACACGGCGCTAAAACACTGCTCTGGATCTTGTGGAAACCACCAGATCCTACTGTGTAGACACGGTGCTAAACCGCTGCTCTGGATCTTGTTGAAACCACCAGATCCTACTGTACAGGATACATGGTGCTAAACCGCTGCTCTGGATCTTGTTGAAACCACCAGATCCTACTGTGTAGACATGGGGGGGTGGGGTGCAATGAAAGTGGAGGCTTTTAGAATTTACTTTGCCCGCAAAATAGTTTCTGACATATACAATGATATCTTACTGTAGATACAGCCCTGTAATATCATGTATTGTATAACAAGGAACACTCATGGTGTTAATACACTGTTATCAAAAGACACGGTAACTTTGTTTGTGGTTTAACGCAGCACTCGGCAGTATTCCAGCTATATGACGGTGGTCTGTAAATAATCGAGTCTGGACCAGACAATCCAGTGATTGACATCATGACCATCGATCCACGCATTTGGGATACGATGACATGCATCAACAAGTCAGCGAGCTTGACCATCCGATCCCGTTAGTCGCCTCTTACGGAAAACATGGGTATTCTACCCCGGATCTTCACGGGTCACTCGTAAGTAAAACTGAATTTTGCTGGTATGGGAGCATGCCAAGGAAAATGTGACAGATGAGAAAACAGTGATATGTTTACCACGACCTTAGGTAATAATGCATCGGCCCCATTGTGGGAATGTATCTGACTTTCTTATTTCATACGCTATTACAACAAAAACATTATGCTAATACTACTGTTAGCAATATTACAGAATCATTGGGATTCCACAGGTAAGATTACATCCATTTTAATCACCTTTTTGAGGTACTTTGGCCTGTTCTTCTTCCTCATGATCCCTAATGGTACAGCATACCATTGGGGAGATGAGAAAAAGAATACTGAGGGTCTTCTTAGCACCCAAATCCCCAAAGCACCGAAACTCTGTCTTGTAAATTTGTGAACTAGAAGACAAAGTTACTGGATTTTCAAGGTAAAGCTAGGTTCCCTGTCTCACATTGAAAACACAGAACGTTTATTTCAATTCTACTATGACAAGCTTGAATGCTGTTTTGCGTTAGCTATGATAATGAGTGAAACAGCAAGAATTGAGTCCAATGTTTGGTGTAGATTGCCAAGCAGAATTAAGGTGAAGTGAAATGGAGTTTAATGTTGCGTCCAAGATTATTGCACTTATATAGCGACGTGCATGCACATGTGTGTGTGTGGCTGCTTATACTAGTCCGGACTTACGCTGATTTTATAGTGCTAGTCCACCGAGATACCATGCTGCAGTTAAACATGAACACCCCACTCAGACACAGTAAATGGACTCTGAGCCGATCAGTCCTTGTTTAAGCCGCTTAATGCCAAGCCCCAGGCAGGGTAACAAGAAGTACCATTTTTTAACGTCTTTAGGTATGACACAGCTGGGGATTGAACCCCGGACGCTCGACCACTAGACCACGGAGGCGGTCAGCAGAATTAAGGAAACACTGATACTAGCCATAGTAACAAAGGTTGGAGTTGTATATGCTCAAACATTGCTTCTTTAGCATCATTATACTTGACAGGCATTAAAAGTGTGTAGCACTGCAGCTTAAGTCAGCCAACTTGATGTCGGCACCCCTAAGAAAATTAAGCAAGCCTTGCAAAGCTTAGTTTACACTGCTTGTCAATATCATGACATCACACGACTCATTGTGATGCAGAGAATGTGTTAGTCTGTTATAGAAAGCACCAAGATTCAAGCTTGCTGTAATCCCTAACATTTGAAGTGCACCCTCTTAGTGAGTGAGTGAGTGAGTATGGTTTTACGCCGCCTTTTAGCAATATTCCAGCAATATCACGGCGGGGGACACCAGAAATGGGCTTCACACATTGTACCCATGTCGGGATTCGAACCCGGGTCTTCGGCGTGACGAGCGAACGCTTTAACCACTAGGCTACCCGACCGCCCCGCACCCTCTTAGTCGATTTCTATCGTATTTTCTGCCGACAATGTATTGCCATGCGTACTTAGAATATTGTAGTTATCACAAATCTGCATTTTGTTATTAGTAGTAAGTGAATGAGTATGGTTTTATGCCTCTTTTAGCAATATTCCAGCAATATCACCGCGGGGGACACCAGAAATCGGCCTCACACATTGTACCCATGTGGGGGATTGGACCGGGCCTTCGGCATGACGACCTACCCAACAGTCCCTTTGTTATTAATAACTGCGTACACACACTATAAATGACTTCTGATTAAAGGACGCAAATCTGACTGACTACTGACTTGCATCTTCCTGAGGCATGGGCGGAAAAATACTTTAAAAGTCTCGTTTCCACCCTCGCCGAACTAGCCTAGAATTTGTAGCGCCACCACTGGCTATGACGAGTTAAGTCCCTTCTGTGTGCGCTGCTAATGACCAATCAGATTCCATCTCTCATAATACTTTCATTTGCTTAAAACAAAATGGTGGCGCCCAGTCAAGATGATCTGATCGATAATGGATGATGATGGATGAGTATGGTTTTATGCCGCTTTTAGCAATATTCCAGCAATATCACGTTGGGGGACACCAGAAATGGGCTTCACACATTGTACCCATGTTGGGAATCGAACCCCGGTCGTCGGCGTGACGAGCGAATGCTTTAACCACTAGGCTACCTGACCGCCCCTTTGATCGATAATGAAGATCTATATTGTAATTAAACGGTTTTACCCCGCAAAGTGCATTAAATCACTTTAGCACCTTGATTAAAAACATGAAATGATTTGCAAAACATCTGTCGATGCCCAGTTGACAAAACTCATGCTTTGCACATCCTGCAGTTGACCGAAATCTGCACGCTGAAATCCATGTTGTTTACAAACCGGATGTCTGGGCCTTTAAGCAATTTTGATTGGACTATGAATAGATTCGTTAGCCAAAGTGTAAAGGTGGAAACTGGACTTTTATAGTCATTTAACGCCCTTGCCGCAGGAAGATGACTTATGACACCCCATCAGGACCCTTGTATCATGGCAGCATGCAGGTTATGGAGTCTGGAGTGAGTGAGTTGGGTCTAACGCCGCTTTGAACAGAATTCCAGTTACATCACGGTGTGTCAGATCAATGTGGGAGGAGTGCATGAAGTAACGCAGGTCTCCGACGTTGACAACTTTGGTGAAGTACACGGGCACATGTTTGGTGGTGACTATGTAATAATGAAGACCACGTCTGGCCTGGCAGTAACATGACGAAGGGATGACAGACTAAATACATAATCAGGATCAACAAAACATGGGAAACAAATTTGTTTTACTTTCTCACATAATGAGTACACATGTACACTTCTGTCACACAAACATCTTGGGTCGGAGGAGAGAACACTTCCTGGAGCAAAGTCCCACAAATATTCAACAATGCTGGAATAGTTCAACACAAGATTGTAATAATGCTAAAATTATCTTGTAGCTCATTCATTTCATGTTTAGTGATGAATTTCAGACAGAAAGAATGGACACGTATTCTTCCCTCATCCCTTGACCATTATCTTAATGTCATGTGCATAACATCCTGTTGCAATGGCATACCACAGACATCCACATCACATCTTGGTTCCAGGAATATCCCAGCATTAAAATCACACCATTTCTAAAATTATGACTCTACCCCTCTGTGAGACAGTGAAAATAAATCCTGAAAGGGACTAATTTTATCACTGTTGATCATCCAAAGCACTGACATGGACAGTTTCAAGACAGTTTTCATACCACACAAGTATAACCAACATTGACACATTGAAGGTTCTCAGCAACATAATTTTTACTCTCTTGTCCCTTTCAAGGGTAATTGTCTCAATGATTTTTCCTCAGTGCTAGGTTCAAATCCAACAACTCTTCTCTCTAGCTGAGCTGCAGGTTGGTTCCGCACCACATGCAGTTGAGCCCACTTAATGTACCAGTGAGGATGCTTCTGCCAGAAGGGTTTGGTCTTAGCTTTGTAGAGTGGCACTCGTCCACGAAAGTATAGGTTTTCAAAGTTGACCACTTCCTCCTTGACGCCCTTGGTGCTGACCTCCGAGGTGGGTGATGCGATGACGTTGGGGAAGTAGTCTCGTTCACGCCGCAGCTCCACCAGGTGAAGGTTCATACGTTCAGACAGCTCTTGGTGGCTCTCCTAGAAGGATGGGGAATAATTGTCATGAAAGAAATCAATATTACTTTCCTATAACCTTCTTCACAGAGAATGTCTCCATCAAAGAGTAAATGACAGCAAAATTTTCCGTGACTTGGGTATAACACCACTTTGACAGTATTCTAGTTATAACACAGGATGCAACTCTACACAGCCAATTGCAGTGTTTGACTGGGCCACTTGTGTCCCCAACGAAGTTTTGACAACAGATTCGTGTTTGAGTCTGGACCAAACAAACCAGTGATAATATTTTGAGCAATGCCCACCTGATCCATTTAGACACAAAAACACAGGTTAATGGGTAAATTGTACCTCATTACATAGAGATAATTAGAGATCTTTTGTTGACAGCAGAATCTCTGCCAGGCAAGTTGCAATATAATGAACCACCATGAACCAATATCTACCACTATTTTCCCAATACAGGCGCCTCTGGACACATGAGAAATGACAAGTTCATCAAGGCATCTCCTAGTATCCATAAACACTAATGTTCCAAGATCTTAGGGTAAAAAGATTGTTAGTTAAGTAACTTCATTAGACTATTAAAGTGTTTTGTTTGTTGTTTAACACTGCATTCAGAATATTCCAGCTATATGACGGCGGTCTGTAAAAAATCTGGACCAGACAATCCAGTGATTGACATTATGAGCATTCAGAAAACATTTTACTTTGGCACAAGACTTTGTAAGTGGTACCTACTTGCTTCTGAAGACCCTTGAAGAAAGCCTTGGTCATATTCTGCACATTGCCTGTGGACCCCTCTACTTTCACATAAATGTCCTCGATGCCTATAATTTCACAGATGGTTTTGAGAACTCGATGACACCGTAGACCATGGCCTGAAACAGAGTGAGTGAGTTATGGAGTGAGTCAGTGAGTTATGGAGTGAGTGAGTGAGTGAGTGAGAGAGTGAGTGAGTGAGCTGGTACAACACTACTTTGAGTAATGTTGCTTCATGCCAGTCATCAACATTCCAGCAATATCGCAGTGGCCTGTAAATAACTTGAGTACAGACAAAACTAACCACTGTTCACAATTTGACTCAAAGACATTTCAGCCTAATGTGGGAAAAGGGCAAAAATAATGCAAGTCATAGACATTTACCAGTCAAGAAAAACCAAAAGTATGGCACCGATAGGCCAAGGATCATGCCTGGGGTGGATTTGGCTCCTGACCCCAGCTCCTAGGGAGGGTTAACATGGTGAATTACTCGGCTCGATTTAGGAACTTGATTTAACCTGAATCTGGAGCTATTGACATGAAAAGTTAGTTGCACCAGACTAAACCAGGTTGCACCCTGGTCCCATAAATTTAACATTGTTGAAACACAGATGCACAAACTAGTCTATTTAAATAAAATCTCAGATCTCTGATGGCTGTGTTACACATAACATATGGATTAATGATACAGTTTGGTCAAAAAGGCTTGGAGATACTGATTGTTCAAAGATCGATGTGTGGACATGTAAGGGTTAGTCAGACACAAACCTTAATGTTTGGACATGCACTTGAGCTTGTGGACATAAATATCTGGTTGCATTTTTCAATAATATGTTGCACTGTTTATTGTCTTATAGTCAGTATGCCAAAATGCTAATTTTGGCAAACTAATCTCTGCTGGAACATATCTGACAAAGATTCTGATTTGCATTTTTATTTGTCCAGTGATAGAAACAAGGTCTCATAATATTACATTTGTATGGTCAAAGGGAGAGAAGTGTGTTGAGTTACACAGAAAGCAAAATAGGAAGGGTTATCTCCCCTCTATAATCTCAAACCAACCTTTGGCCGCTTTCCTGACCATCACTGCAGTCTCCTTCTCCTTGGAGTAGAAGTTGTGGTACACTGCAAGCAGAAGACACGTGACAATAGCAGGAAGAGGGACAAAGTGAGGTACATGACATATGCTGCCCCTTTAACCTCACTATAGTAACTGACCTGTCCCTTAGCGTACCACAATATACATACCTGAATTCAACAATGTACTGTCAAAAATATCTGAAAATAACTAACAATGTGAATATCTACATATGTTCCTAGTTGCTGCACCATTCTTGAAAACCAAGTTCCCCACTCAATGAAAGACTGAGAAGGAGTTTTATGTGTCACTAGCAGTGTTCGAAGTAATTGCCTGCTGGCCTGCCCGCGGCTAGTAACTTTTCTTTTCGACTGCATGAAACTTTCCTCCACCTGCCCGACTGTCTGGCAGATAATTTTACGACTACTTCCTATTCAGTTTTGTTACATCTCTCTGTATATTTTCAAGTAATTGTTTGCATTATTTCACTGAATCAAGACAAGGACTGTCTCTTCTTTTTGTTGCGATTTTTCGATATTAATAAAAATCTGAATGCGGGCAGGTAACTTTTCAATTATTTACAGACCGCCGTCATATAGCTGGATTATTGCTGAGTGCGGTGTTTAACAACAAACAAAATCTTAGGCAGTCAGCTCAAATACTCCTGTATACACAGTTGTACGTCTATTAGCATTGATAACCAGTTACAAAACCTTTCAACTTTACAGTTTGATATTTTGATCTTTCTTCTGTCTATTGACAGTTCAGAGAAATATGCAGCCAACTTGTAAGAGTTTTTTACAAGACAGTGACAAGGAAATCAGAAACTGTTAATGTTTTTACAGAAAAAAACATCCTCTCTGGTTATCGGCAGTACCTGTGTGTCCCTGGAACCTGTCGACGTACTGCAAGCGCTGGGATGCCATGTTCTTGGCCTGTAGGACATTCAAAGAATGCTGTGTTAACCCTTCCTTTTGTTCAGAATAAGTGATTGTGTTGGGCTTAACCCCATACTGACAAGTATTTCAGTTGCATCACAGCGTGTCGGCTAGATTTGGTAGGAAAACCTGAATTGATGCAGGTCTTACTACTTCGCTGAAACCAATGAGACGGAATATGGTGCTGACAAACCCAGAAATTAATCATGATGGACTGGGATTTGAGCCCACGATCACAGGTTTCTGTATGCCTATGTTATGCAGCTTTGCACAATGCACTGCACACCCATGCCCCTTGGCTAAAAGGAATAATGGTACAACCAAATTATAAAACTTATTACAGAATCAACAATTTCCACGTAAGCATAAAATAAGGGCATTATTGTCTTTCTCGTGATCTCAGTGGCACATTAATACTAAAGACAACTGTCACAAGTTCCACCGTCCGACTTACCACTCATATCTATGTGCACCTCCACAAAAACGTTTCACCTATATCTGTGGGTTATCAAGGCGATGATGATGATACAAACCAGATAACATCAAAGAAGATGTATTAACACTCTAAAGCCTTAACGTTTCAACACAGACATATGAGAATTTGACTGAAGCATGAGAAACTCATCATTGAATTGCAATCAGGAAAGTAGTCCGTCATAGTCTGACCTTCATTAATCACCATGGAGTAGCCAATCACGGACCTGGGATTCATCTCGCACATATGTTTATCAATTATCTCACAGGGGTTTCTCACCCACAGGTGTGTAAGATATTATGGTAATACAGGACACTTCTTACAATGGCCACTCAACATTCAAGCATTGATTGTTAGAAACTGAGATATGCTCCTCTAGGCTGGTTGGAAACCACGCAGGTCACTTACTTTCCTGAAGGCACCGTCAAAGCTGGACGATTTCGCAAGAGCATAACCTGTAACAGAGAGAATACACTGCATCACATAATCTTAGGGGTGTCATGATAATTCGAAATATTGATATACTGCTATTGGTAAGCACTTAAAGTCAGTAAATCAATTGTTAAATCAGTTTCCGATCAATAGCATCAATTTCAGTTGGGAATATCGATAGTTTTGATTGTATTTACCATATCAATAACATATATGCAAGGCTGTTCAAATTTGTTTTTATCTTTTGTAATGTGGAAGTTTCTTTTTCTTAAATTATTAGGGTAAAGTAAAAACAAAACAGTGAGAGTTTGAGTAGTTCACTGGAGTAGGAACCTTCATAGAGTGAGGGCCAAACTGTATGAACGTTGGATCTGACGAGTTTCAGTAGTAGTTGATTACGACAACTTCTGATATGAGTTACTTCCCTTTGGTTTGAGTAGCAACAGGGAGAAAAATGGCTGACTTTAACATTACCTTGTTGTTATTACTTTAATCATTTTTATTACACTGATAAATATGATTATAAAGCCAGGTGATGAGTGTGCAATGTTTCATGTTGTAGATAATACAAACATACACTTACACAATTACCCAAGTAACCTATGCTGGTGTTAAGATGCGATTGAATGGATCAGGATTCACTTGCACAAAACAATCTTAGCACTAGGACCATTGTACATGTTGTAAGTCTTTGTTAAAGAAAGGGAGTTACGATCACTGCAGCGCTTGTGTTTCATCGTCCAAAGATAACATGGGATGTTGCTCATAATATCAATCCCCAGAGCTCCAGTTGATGTTTAGAGCAATTGAGTTTTTACTCGAAGGTTTCTATTTTCATTGGGTGACCAATATATTTTTTCACTCATCTATTCATCACTCTATTGGGTTTTTCCTAAAATGAGTGAAAATTTTAAAATTTACAAAAAATGAAATAATGTTTTAGATGTATATAACGATTCTAAATATATAGGATCCACTCAGAAAGTAAATTAGCTCGTAATTGTGTGTCGGAAATTAGCTCCTTTGTACGCATACTGTAAAAGCTTCATTTGGTAATTTACTCGTGCTGTTTTCATACATTTGAGTTTTTCATTTAATTCATGTGTTCTGTAAGCAAGTTTATTGAAAGTTATTAGGTCTTGCATATTTTGCTGGGGTATTTTCTGCAAATACACTGCTTATCTGTCACCTCTGAATCCCAGTTATGTCAGTGCTAGGACTCCATCATCTACAGTCCACCATATGGGTGTGTGAGTGAGTATGGTTTTACCCCGCTTTTAGCAATAATCAAGCAATATCATGGAAGGGGACACCAGAAATGGGGTTCACACATTGAACCCTTGTGGGAAATCGAACTCGGGTCTTCGGTGCGACGAGTGAATGCTTTAACCACTAGGCTACCCCACCATCCCTACCAGCAGTCATTAAGTGAGTCAGGCTTGACATCACATTGAGCAGTACTGTCAATGCATGCCGGGATAATGTTGCAGGAAGGTCTACAGTGACACAGGCTATAGAAGTCATCACTTTGTGAACCCATTAGCATGGCTATAGTACTGACAGACCAATCATCTGGGATTCGAACATATAATTTTGAGATCCTGGAACATGTAAGGGAAGAAACCCTGCATAGTGAACAATTTCAACATAGTGAACTTAGTGCCTTAGACCGATGGGGCCAGTCGATGCATCTAGCACATCTGAGCTTTAAGAGCTTTATCTGTATTGCATAGCATCATCATCAAGACAGCTGCACCAACCATCCTCATGCTGGAAAGAAAGTGACTGACCTACCTGCAAGGCCATTCTTGTTGCCTGTCACTACAAATGCGCTTGACCGGAACTTCTTGCCCAGATTTCCGGTCATGTTGGCAACCAACTTAAACTGCAAACACAGACACTATCACTATTAATATGCTCAGACAGTTGCTTAAAATGAACAAACATTTACTGATAATAGCAGATTTTTTTATTATTACATTGAAAATTCAATGAACATTGTTTAATGAAAACATTTGTTTCTCTGCCTGTATCTTGACAAGATATGAAGATAATGACAGAGTAAACTGACATACTATACCTCAAGTATCTTTGCGTCGAAACCTTCAAACTCATCTGCAAGAGATTGACAAAGAATAAATGTAAATATGACCTGTTAACTACAGCCTTACTTTGACTTGCATGCTGCTGTGGTGCAGTGTTTGAAATAAAATATATTGCCAGGGTCCCACAGAATTACAAAAATTACAGGCCCTGTCTAAACTCTTCAGGCCTTCCTTTATAAAAGTGCAGCTAACTGTGACAAATCAATTGACACTTAAATTGACTGGCATAAGGCCCAATACAAATACAGGCCCAACACGAGATCTACCTGACATGGGCCTTTGGGCAGGCGCTTATTTCGAACGTTGCTGTTGTGTTGTATCCGCAGAATAAAACATGAGCCTATTCAGGCCACAACACAAGCTTATCTTTCAGCCTGCTCCAAATTTGGCATATAACAAAGATATCTACTGGGAAAAATAACTTAATTTTGCATTGGGAGGAGTGGCATGAAGGGGAGGGTGGTATGAAGGGGAGGGTGGTATGAAGGGGAGAGTGGTATCAGGGTTTGGTGGTATGAAGGGGAGGGTGGTATGAAGGGGAGGGTGGTATGAAGGATAAGGTGGTATGAAGGGCGGGGTGGAATGAATGGTGGTTTGGTATGAAGGGCGGGGTGGAAAGAATGGTGGTTTGGTATGAAGGGCGGGGTGGAATGAATGGTGGTTTGGTATGAAGGGCGGGGTGGAATGAAGGGTGGTTTGGTATGAAGGGTGGGGTGGAATGAATGGTGGTTTGGTATGAAGGGCGGGGTGGAATGAAGGGTGGTTTGGTATGAAGGGTGGGGTGGAATGAAGGGTGGTTTGGTATGAAGGGCGGGGTGGAATGAAGGGTGGTTTGGTATGAAGGGCGGGGTGGAATGAAGGGTGGTTTGGTATGAAGGGGGTGGTGGAATGAATGGTGGTTTGGTATGAAGGGCGGGGTGGAATGAAGGGTGGTTTGGTATGAACGAAAATAAAATGATTCAAAGACGTTCTCACACAGTAGGGATAAGAAAGAGAATGATAAGGCAGCTGTTGTTAGCTGGTCAGTTTGGCAAGGTCGCTATGCACAGGATTATGGTGTGTGACCCATTTGTTTGGGTAGGGACCATGCTGGGATGTGTTCAGGCGTAATGTTTTTTTGAAGCTGGAAACTTTGTTCTGGGACCTTCCCACACCAAGATATGAGAAAGAAAAAGAAATGAGATAGTTGTTTCAAAGAAGAAAAAATTAATTGGAAGAACATTTCTTAACACATATCTTTCAGTGGTACATATATAATGTTGGACTGCCGAAAATATAGCTTCATTATCTGCAACAACATTGTCTGCACTGCTGTATAACAGTATGTTTACATCAACAGGTATGTTATGAACAATATTTCTAAGGCTGTTAAACATAATTACACATGAGTAATGTACATGCCATGAAAAGTAATATGCATTTTCATATGCATTTGAAGATGTACAGTTCAGGGGGTCTTTTATGCCAATTCTATACATAAATTATGATCTGCTAACACAGTTGAGTTCCACAATCCTACAGTCGATGAGTAAAATGATTTGCACGAATGTCTTTATCTTGCGAAAAGAACACTGATAGATAAGCAAACTTTAATCAGCGTTGTCAACAGAGGCCTTAAAAACACAATCTAAGTAGAACTTACAGTCTCCAACTGGGTCAGGAGCTCCAACACTTTGCCCAGGAAACTTGGCTCCAGTAAAGCCCCGTTTCAGAGCTGGCGTTTTGATAGATTTGCGCTTGGTCCCTTTATCCCGAGCTTCCTGGATCCTCTTCATGCGCTGTGTGTTAGCGGACAGCTGCTGAACACGCAGAAGGTGACTGCCCTGAATCACCTGAGTGTTGAGCCCAGGCCACACCATGGCTGTGCTTCCTGTAACAAATGTGTAACTCTCACAAACTATAAGAGGATAGGAAACAACAGCTGACCTCTTAGTTAACAGCCAGCTGCAAATCAACTTTTACATCCTTTGAATGTTTCTTTGTTGTTTTACACTACACTCAATATGCCAGCTACATGACGGCGGTCTGTAAATAATTGAGTCTGGGCCTGACAATCCAGTGATTGACATCATGCGCATCAAACTTCGCAATTGGGATACAATGACATGCATCCACCAAGTCAGCGAGCCTGACCACACTATCCCGTTAGTCACCTCTTATGTCAAGCATGGGTTGCTGAAGACGAATTCTAACAAGGATCTTCAAGAGGACGTTTGTTATTGAACTCTGCATTCAGCACTATTCTAGCAATATGACGGTGGCCTGTAAATAATTGAGTCTTGACCAGACAATCCAGTGACCGATATTGCATGCAGCGATCATTGCCATCGGGATACAATGACTCACAACATGCACAATCAACCAAGTAACCGAGGCTGAACACCCAATCCATTTGGTTGCCTCTTACAAAAGCATAGGTGGTTAGGGACCAGTTCTTCCATCCTTGGTAGGCATGGAGCCTTTTCTTCTTTCGAAATGTCAAGGGCAGAACAGTTTTTTTCTTTGAGATGAATGTATCAGTTTTCAACGAAAATACAGGAAGGTGACGAGACCCGAACATGTCATATATACCAAGAAAGCTGAGATACTGGGCATATTGACATGACATTGACCCTGCAATGATGATGTGTGCACCTTTTTAGTTTGAGCAACATTTAGAAGGCAGCACCTGTTTCTGACCCTGTATCAACTCACAAAAGTGGTTACACTTCGCTCCCACACCAACACATGAGGAGGAGCAGTGAAATGGGGTTAAACAGAGCATTCAAAAATTATTGCACATATATATATATATATATACACACCCACCCACCCAGCCCCACACACACACCCACAACAATCATATACATCGTTTTGATCACAAGCACTACCTAGTGTTGCACTTACCTTCTCCAATCACCTGGCCCCTGTTAAGGTTTATCCGCCGCCGACCACCTGTCCGCAGCTTGCCACGCCCTCGTTTCTTGCCAGCATTACTGACTCCTTGCACCCCCTGCCATAATTCATCCGCAGTCACTGAGAACAAACAGTACACCAGTACGAAATATGACAGACGTGAAAACAGCCAAGGAAACACAATGACAACCCGGTAATTACCATAGTAAGGCTTCCACTCATAACCCCCAAAAAATTTCAAAGTCAGAACCCTGGCTAGTATAAAAAATGATTAATGTAGGTTTTGGGTTAGGGTTCCTGTAACCCTCGAAACTTTTCAAAATCATTACCCCATGCAAGAAGTATTAAAAAGTATTTATGTACATTTCGGTTAGCATGGTTAGTGTTAGGGTTAGGTTACATTAACCGAGGCAAAATTTAAAGCAGGTGTTACTGGTTGAAATCTTACCATACCACATTATACCAGTTTCAACATTGATATATGAAACTTTGAAAGTAATCATGGTAATACTGCATGGTCTGTCATTTCATTGCATGTTGTGGTTGTCACAAGTATAGTCAGTATGCATAGACCCAGAGCTCCAGACAAGCTGTATTTAAGAAATCAACGACTTGTGATCGTTGTTTAAGGTTGATAGTAAAAAGTACACGCCTCTAAACATATTTACCCGTATTTGAATATTGATGACTCCTGAATAGAATCCGACCACGGCAATGTCGGACAAGTCCATTTTGTGAACAGGGTTTGGTCTTTCCTGCATATTCTTACAATTTTCACGTCAATTATCCGTACTTCTTCTCCCAAAAGCGATTATCATAGCTCTCTCAATTTTTGAAGCGGTCGTTAGGTCATTGCATTTATCTATGTTGCTTAACTACATCTACTCATTAGACACTTTCCACTAAAAAATAACATCAAATTGACGTAATTACGTTGCCAGTGCATGCTTGAATCACCAGAAATGACGTCATGATAGAATAATGTTTCATCGTGAAATAAACCATGCTTCGTTCTTCATTGTTCTTTGCGATTTATCACGCAGCTGTCTTACATATTTGCGTAACATACACAAAATAAATCTCCATAACCAGATTTATTTGGAATTGCTTGTTTAGAAACATTCTTGTGAGGTGAAATGAGGTTTAACGTTGCGTCCAAGATTATTGCACTCATATAGCAATTTGCATGCATGTGTGTGGTGGTTGTACTAGTCCGGACTAATGCCGATTTTAAAGTGCTAGCCCGTGCCACAGTTTAACATGATTATACCACTCATACACAGTATACTGATTCTGAGCTGATCACTCCTTGTTTAACATGTTTAAGCCCCTTAATGCCAAGCGCCAGATAACAAGTTCCATCTTTTAACATCTTTGGTATGACACGCCTAGGGATTAAACCACCAGACCACTGAGGCAGTCACAAACATTTTTGAAATTTAAAAAGAATCAAATGATAAAATAATAATAGCATAACAGCACTGAGCATAGTTATCCAATGAAGCCTTTTCAGCTTGATGCCTGTACGTCTTTGCAACTTCTTTTTTACTGATTGAATGCAAATGTCATTTAACTTTCATGAACTCTACTGCAGTGAATAATGCAAAAAAGTGCTAAGTCTGGCACATTATGACTTAAGACATGTATCACTGTTATGAGCTCTGGCGATGTGTGACACAATAGGGGCATTACATGGATATCTGCAAATTAGAAGTAATCTGAAACAGAGTTTTAAGCAGAATTATGTTGCTGGCTAAACAGATAACATAACTCACATCGGTTGAAGAATCCTGCATTTCTGTACAATATAAGCTGGGGACGACAGCAGCTGTGCTGACACAACATCGCAGCTGTCTCTGTGACAACAGGCAGTCTGGCACACCGCAACATGGCTGTCAAGTCAAAATGATAAAGAATAAACTAAAATATAATCAAGCTGAACAGTAGTAAGGAGACCAGATTTAAGGGACCGGTCATTCATTACAGGTAGGTGGTGGGGTTATGTGAAATTCAATGTTGATAGCTTTAGGTGGTTTGCTTCTGTCATCTTGGACATATCCTCCTCACAAAGAAGTGGACTCTGTTCAACAGATAGTGATGGTGTATTTGATTCAATAGAGGCTACAGGTAATCATCAACATGATTAAAGGATAAATTGACCTTGATGAATGAAAATAAACATGATCATAATCAACGGATAATCGAGGTGAGGTGCTGTGGATACTGGTGCTTCTGTCCTAGGCTAATCTGATTAGCCAGTGAAACTCAAAACTTGATCACATTGGACTAACTGGTGAGAGGTGAGATAACCCATACCATTATTCACAAACCCTAAGTGAGTGAGTGAGTTTGGTTTTACGCCGCTTTTAGCAATATTCCAGCAATATCACGGCGGGGGACACCTGAAATGGGCTTCACACATTGTACCCATGTTGGGAATCGAACCCGGGTCTTCGGCATGACGGGTGAACGCTTTAACTACTAGGCTACCCGTCCGCCCCTAAGAATGTAAAGGTGTGTTTGATTGACAAGGGTGGCCAGCCCTAAACCATTGTGAGTGAGTATGGTTTTACACCGCTTTTAGCAATATTCCAGCAATATCGCGGCAGGTATAGTGTAGGTAGTTAAATTGGAAAGGGGTAGGCTGCCCAGAGAGTACCTTACCCTAATATGGTTGTAATGGGGTGTTTTATCGGAAAATGGATCGGATCCAAGAGCTAAGGATACAGTTGGAGCACGGGCCCCTGATTGGCCCCGAAGCAGGATACTGATATTACTGAAACACTTCAGGGGTCTGTGAGTTGGGGGTACCCTACCCAAATCGAAACACAACTGAGGATCGACGAGGCACTCGAGATTAATAAAGCAAGAGACACGGTCGGAGACCAGGACAATTAACTGCGCACTAATTTTACCCCCAAAGTTGTCAAAATTAATTTTGCATTCTGCACCAAGGTCACATGTCGACTATCGAAAACAGGTGACTATCGTGTTTTAAGTGATACGCTGACTGTATTATTAAAGACTGGGCCATCAGGCGATCATGCATCCAGATATAACCTGGTACGGTTGGAAAATCGGTAACAACTAAGACAGTACCTCTTGTTTGAGAAGAACAAGCACTTGCAAGTCTCCATACCCCAAGACATGAAGTGCCGGCCATTCTGTCCCTCCACCAACATTCATATGAAACGGCTTTTATGATTGGATTACCAACGACCAGCTCCGGAGCTCCACACAGTGTCCGAAATGCATCGGATGTGCAAAGCTTGTAGCACGCGCTGAGATAGAGTTATGTTTTGGTAATTTTTCAGTTCACTTTCCTTGTGATGAATCATGTTTATTCTCGTAAATCACGGCAGTGATACAGAGATGTAATTGGATACAGGAATTAGATACAATAGGAGAAAACATGTCAGTGGAACATTTCCATACATGATCTTATATAACTTGCCAGTTTTAATAGAATTGGCTTATAAGTAATGGACATCAAATGAGAGAATTTTACGGCAGAAGGATACATACAGTAGTATTGAGGCAAAAACTTGTTTCTAATTTCTGAGAGTTTTTGGACATTCTAATAAAAAGTGCATTTCATCACATATCAAATTTTTACACAATGTACATTTTCTTTCCTCTCTCACAATATTATACCATCTTCCTGTTTCAATTGGTAATCTATGATTTGCTGTTCTAAAACGAGCAAGAGAGATGCGTAAGGTGATTGGTAGTTCTAGTAAATAAGGTTCTAGGGATGGTAACTCTTTAAACATGTTATGATAGTAACCTTTAGATGAATTTTCCTTTGATTCTCGCCATCTTTGCAGAAAATTATCAACGAGAACATGTTTCACATTTTGTTTCAACCATGCGGCACTAATAAAGGTTTGAGACAACCAAATGTAATTAAAGCCTATATTTTGAAGAATGCATTTTACTTCTTTTAATAGTGGGAAATGGTAATATGGATTTGCAATGGACATTTGAAACATAAGTTTATATACTATACTAGAAAAGCTAGTTTGTGATGATGTTAGCTTGCACCAATATGAAATCAATCTTATCTTGATGAAAATGCTGAGAGGATACCTCCCTAGTTCACCATATACCATGTAATCGGGTGTTGACTGTTTTAACTTGAGAATATATTTACAAAATTTAAGATGTACACGTTCAATGACAACAGCATTTTCAAAACCCCACACCTCAGATCCATATAACAATACTGGCTGAACAAGTTGATCAAATAATTTCAATTGACAGTCAATAGGAATGTCTAATATTCTAATTTTACAAAGTACAGCGTACATTGCTCCAGAGGCCTGATCTGTCAGTCTTTTTAGTGCCTTACAAAATCTACCAGTGTTTGTAAATAAAATACCAAGGTAAACATATTCTTTAGCCTTTATCCATTAGCGCGTCGTCATTCATGGATTTAGGTCAGAAAAATAGTTGGAGCGCCACATGGTGAGTGAGTTTGTTTTTACGCCGCTTTTAGCAATATTTCAGCTATATCACGACAGGGGACACCTGAAATGTCAGTGAGTGAGTATGGTTTTACGAGACTTTTAGCAATATTTCAGCTATATCACGACAGGGGACACCTGAAATGTCACCTAAATTAGTATCGGTGGTGGTATTGTTGTTGTTATTGTTATCATATGTATTCAATACTTAAACTGCGCAATAGGATATCGAGACCAACTTCTAATTAATTTAGTGCACGACAAACTGATTGATTATTCTCGAAAATCCATATAGGTTTGTGCGGTCCGGAGTTTATTTTGTGAGGCGTAATCCAATAATGAATGTCAACAAGATTATATCTTTCAGATCAATAAATGCATACATTTACTGAATAATTAAATGTAATTGAGATGACAAGTACTTGGAATCAGTCAGTTAATGAAAAAGAGAATATACAGTTCGGAATTCGATGTCTGTCTGATGAGGTCAGACAATTCGTATTTTCAACAACTTATTTCTGACTGTTTACTGTTTTTCTTTTGACAAATATAAATACCGTATTCGACGTAAAAAGCGCCCTGGGGGCTCTCAAAATTAGAAATAGGGGGCTCTTATTAGAATATAATTTTGGCGAGATTAAAAACGAGGTTGAAAGATTGTAAATTTTGTGGTTTATGCTGAGAGCCTGACATGATATAAAAGAAGAATGTGTGTGTATTATACACGATAGATATATTTTCGAGAATTGAACTGCCCATAATTAAGGGTGCATATAACAAACGAGTGCGTATTTTACACGAATAAATAAGTCTTGTTTACATTGATCAATCGGTAAGGGTGCTAACTGGGATTGTGCACTAGCCAATATATACTAGCCGCATAAAAGAAACTGTGCACGGAGAAAATTTAGATATAAGGGTACACCGTCCACATATGAAATATAGGTTTGAACACAGCAATTATTGGAGACATTCAAACGCTCATGCACGTGCCATGCGATATGACGTCATTGATAGGGGCCTATGGACGTGCAATGTGTTACTGCACGTGCATCCTGTGCAGCTGTACACAGCATGTCAACTCAAAATTCGCTGTCACTTTGGAAAGCATGATTTGTGGTCATTCAAAAATTCAAAACTTCTCAGGCGCAGACACAAGCATATCACAAGCAAATCATGCCAAGATTGACAGCTGCACAGCGTCATGAAGCCATTGGAATGATCCGAGCGGGAATGAGGCAACAACAGGTGGCAACACATTTCCAATGCCATCGTAACACGATATCGGCATTGGTGAGGCGTTATCAGAACACAAATGACGTTGCCGACCACCCACGTTCAGGACGACCCCGAGTAACGACGCCAAGACAGAACAGATGGATTCGAGTTACACATCTCCGACACAGGTTCCAAACGGCAGTAACGACGTGCTAGACAATTCCTGGACTGCGCCGTATCCATCCCAACACTGTCAGGAATCGTTTACGTCAGTACGGGATTCGACCACGACGCCCTGCCATACGTCCCATCCTGACACACCGTCATCGCGTCAACCGTCTAAGATGGTGTCGAAATCATGTTCGCCAACCTCGAATATGGTGGAGAAATGATGTCTTTACAGATGAATCGAGGTTCAACATTTCCCACAGTGACGGGCGCCAACGTGTCTACCGGCGTTTGGGAGAACTTATGCACTATGCACGCAACTGTATTTTGGAGAGGAATCGTTTTGGAGGTGGCTCTGGGATGATTTGGGGTGGGATAACAGCACGGCACCGAACCCCTTCGGTGGTTGTTCAGGGCAATCTCACCAGTGTTGGCTACAGAGATCAGATTCTGAGGCCTGTGGTCATTCCTTTCCTGCAACGTCATGGCCCGAGATTGACATTTCAACAGGACAACGCTCGTCCTCACACGGCTAGGGTCGCAATGGATTTCCTTCACCATAACAATGTCATGTTACTGCCATGGCCTGCAAATTCTCCAGATCTCTCCCCAATAGAGCATGTGTGGGATGAAATGGAGCGCCGTCTGCGTCGTCTTCCACATCCTCCAGATAACGTCCGTGACTTGGCACAGGATTTGAGGAGGATATGGCAGGCCATTCCCCAGGCCTTCCATGCCCATTTGGTGGACTCCATGCGTCGCCGATGCACTGCTGTGATTCACGCACAGGGTGGTCATACCCGTTATTGACTTTGTGAATTTGTCGTTTGACCCCCTACTCCACTTTGATCTTCTGACGTCATCGTAACAGAGTAAAAGTTCAAACACGCACAGAGTACATCCTCATGGTATTTGTTTTTAAATTACAACTATTTATTTCGAAGGCATTGACATTATTGATACTTGGGATAATTATATTGAACAAATGCGACCATTTCGAAGAACTGCGAAATGTCCTGCTATATTTCTTTTATTTGTGGGAGTTTTATGTCTCCATCTTTATTTTCACATACAATTAAACTTGTTTTTATTTCATCTGGCTTATTCACCCAAATGAACTTCAAGGATCATTTATGAAACTGATCTATAAAACAGTGATTGGGTTTGGGTAGAATCAAAGATTTTAATACTGTATTTCTTCCCAGGGGTGTTAGATTTCTGATTGACCATATTGTCATTAATCTTCCAGACTCTTTAAACTTAGTTTTTATAGTTGGTATCAATCACATCTTGAAGGTCTGTGTGGAATTGCACACCTAGCAGTTTAAATGGTTCTTGACTCCTATCTTTTGGTTTGGTTTTGTTTGTTGTTTAACGCCACACTCAGCAATATTCCAGCTATATGACGGCGGTCTGTAAATAATCGAGTCTGGACCAGACAATCCAGTGATTAATATCATGAGCATCGATCCACGCAATTGGGATCGATGACATGCATCAACCAAGTCAGCGAGCCTGACCACCCAATCCCGTTAGTCGCCTTTTACGACAAGCATAGTCGCCTTTTACGGCAAGCATGGGTTGCTGAAGTTCTATTCTTACCCGGAATGACTCCTATCTAGCTTCCATTGTTGACAGTTTAATTTTGTATCTTTTTTATCCTATCCTTATTATTATTCCAGAATGAAGTGTTGGAATGTATTCACCTAACAACATATCTAAGTTTATTGCACTAGTTTCGTGCTTAGTATACAGCATTTATAGTATCTTTCTTCTAGCAAGTCATCCTGTTTATCAATTACCCTTCCCCAAAAATCTTCTATACGGCTTATCGATTTGTTAAGGTATGTTCTGGACTCTAGTCCTAGAAAGTATTTCTCTCCCATTTAGTCCATCTGGCTTTGGAACGTACTAGTAAACTTTGAGCTTTTTTATAAACTTACTCCAGTTCTACATTTAAAATATCAATTTCCATTAAAATTTCTTTTTTTGTTTCTTCTCGGCCTGCTTCATCTAACTTGATGGTTAATTTATTGAGGGTATTTTGTATATCCTTGCCTTTGTTTCACGTTCTTTCTGTATGTGTGATAAGTATAGCACTTTTTAAGAGATTTACATATTCAAAATCTTTCAAAAGGCCACTGTTAAATTTCCAAAAGCCTTTACCACGCTGTAAGTCAGATAGGTTAAAAGTATTGATATTGGAGAATGATCCGATTTAATGCTGGATTCAGTTTCTGCTCTAACAATAGACGGGATCATGTGTGATACAAGGAAATAATCAAGACGTGTTTGTTTAAGAGTGTTTGGTTGTCGTCAAGTGTATCGTTTCTTTCTCGCCAAGGGTCAATG